ACACCTTCCACTAGCCCAGGTTGCTCCAAGCCCTGTCCTGGCCTTGGACACTTCCAGAGATGGGGCAACTTCTCTGGGAAATCTGTGCCAGGGGCCTCCACACCCTCACAGGGAAAAAAAATTCCTTCCACATATCCCATCTAACCCTCCCCTCTGGCAGTGGGAAACCATTCCCCCTTGTCCTGGCACTCCAGGCCCTTGTAAAAATAGTCTCTCTCCATGTTTCTTGCTGCCTCTTTCAGGCACTGCAAGGCCACAGTTAGGTCACCCTGAAGCTTCTCTTCCCCATGCTGAACAATCCCAATTCTCCCAGCCTTTCCTCTCAACAGGGCTCCTCCACTCTGAACATTTTGGTGCCTCCTCTGGACTCACTCCAACAGCTCCATGTCCTTCCTGGGCTGGATTGCTCTCACACATCATTAAGCAGATAAAATCTGATGGAGCTGGAACACACGAGGCTGTGGAGGGATGTGAGGAGCTTGGAACCAAATATGTGCCTCTGTGGTATGCACCCACCCTGCTGGGAACCTCAGGAAAGAGCAAAACTTGGTATTAAGGAGCAACTAAACTGCTTTTGCCTCTAATAAACAAATAAATATGCTCCATCTGCACAGATAAAATCCAAATATTTACAACAGGACCTGCAGTCCTAAAGCTGAGTTTTTAATAAGAACAAAATGCAGGAGAGGATGTTTGCTTGGCTTCTTTCCTGCTCCAATGGGAATACGGGAGGGTGACCTTCAACCCACCCTCCCTGGGGCTGGAGCTGGTTTAGCTCCAGCTGTGCCCCTGCTGCTAATCTTTGAGTCTATAGGGAAACAGGAACAGCACCCAGCTCTTCTGAAAATGAGGGGAAAATTCAGAATGAGAGAGAGTGCTAAAGCTCAGGAGCTGCAGACAATCCAAAATAAAATTTATAGGTAAGACCAGACTTGTAAGAGGTTTCTAGGTCCAAAAGCTTGCCTGTTTTTTTGGTTTATTCTTTTTTTCCTCAGCTATTGTTGTTCCAATAAAAATCTCCTTAAAATGGCACTGTGTGGGTCTCAGAATGCTGAGAGAGCTGCACCCATGCTGACACCTGTGCTGAAGGATTTCCATCAATCTCAAGAAGCGCTTCAGTCCAACCATATAATTAATAGTGAAATTTAATGTGGTAAAGAGGGGTCATGCACAGTGTTGAAAATTCATTTACAGATAAATTGTCTGTATCACTGTACTGGGTGTAATGTTACGGCACCTAAGAGGTTTTCCCTGTGAAAGGGGATTTCTACAGTCTTAGGGCAAGAGGTGTGGTCCAGAGAACCTCCTAAGGGGAACAATCAGCTGGAAATCCAGTCAGTATTACTTTTATATCTGCAGAGTAGTTTTCACTTCTGAGGTAATTTCTTGTGATTTTAAGGGATTATTCTATAATAATGATATTTTGGTTAAATCCATATGAACGCCACAACTCATTGGCAACCCCTGCCAGTGCCTAAAGGGGCTCCAAGAGAGCTGGAGAGGGACTTGGGACAAGGAGCTGGAGTGACAGGATCGGGGGGAATGGCTTCCCAGTGCCAGAGGACAGGGATAGATGGATATTGGGGAGAAATTCCTCCCTGTGAGGGTAGGGAGGCCCTGGCACAGGTTGCCCAGAGAAGCTGTGGCTGCCCTGTGCAAGCACCCAAGGCCAAGTTTGACGGGGCTTAGAGCATCCTGGGGTAGTGGAAAGGTTCCTGCCTGTGGCAGAGGGAGGATTGAGAGGAATGAAAGATTTTTCCAACCCGATCCAGCCCGGGACTTCGACTCTTTTGAACACCAGTACCCCAGGCTGACCATAGATGTCAGCAGCAGCTTCAGCTACAATCGCTGGGCTCTGCCAGGACCAGACACTGCGCCTTCTGCCTCGGACCAGTTTATTTAGGAAACGTGAAGAGAATACATAAATGCATGGACGAGAGACTGGAATTGCTCATTTCCTGAGTCTGTGTTATCTTGCCAGGTAAGGAAATGGCTTCAACAAAATCACCTGCCGTGTCACCGGCTGAATCCCCGTGGTTTCCTCAAACCCAGCAGTGCTGGAGGGTCAGGGATGGGCAGTGAGGGCAACCCACTCCCCCCAGCAGATTTTATTTCCATCCCAACACATGGAATTTTCTTCTAGTAGTCCAAATTATTTATCTGACCCCTGACATTGAGAACATCCCAGCCCTGAGAGCACTAATGAGCAATAAACTGTTCTCAGCTGAGCCTGCTATTCATGCCTGAAGGTCCAAGAGCCCCTTTTGACCCAGCTTGGGGCACCCACACTTTTCCCCAGGGGATGTTGGATGTACCCACATCACAAATGAGAGCTCAGGGGTCACTGCTGGCACAGCTGGACATGTGGTTCAGCAGGAGCTGCTGGATGCTCCAAAAACAGCTGCAAAGTGAGCAAACAAAGTGTTTAGGAAATAAGAATTCCTGAGGGCCTAATATATTGAATTTTAAATCTTACAGGGCAAAATGATCTTTGGGCAAGAGACAGTGATGAAACAGATGCCATCCTATCTCATCCCCATAGCCTAAGGCTTTTCCTTTTTCTCATAGGGATAATTACAAATTGCTACTGCTCCAGAGCACTTTTGAGCTTTTCCTGGCAGACGCCTTCTCCCCTCAAGTCCGAAACAGGACAGACAGCACATTTCTGTTGGATTTAGCTGGAAGGAAGCCTCTCCTGCTGCTGTCCTGCAGCCAGGGCTGCACAGGGGGGCAGCTGCTCGGCGGGGACAGCAGATGTCTGGGCCATGGGGACACAGACAGAGGGGAGGGGAGCAGGGCCATCAGCTGTCAGGCTGCTGACCTCTTACCCCGCCATGGGAAATCCACTGCCAGATCTCAGGGATCTCATCCCCAGATGAGGGGGTTTCATCGTTTATTCTGATTTTCAAGGCTTTTTCTGTTACCAGACCATGTCCCATTTACAGCTGTGATTGTTGACTTCCCAGTCTTTGGAGGGCAGCCTCCCTGCTTTAGAGTTCGGGTGTTGCCTGCTTATGTTAAGGGAGATACACACGACTCCTTCTAGAGCACTACTAATTTTGGTAAATTCCAAACCTGTTTGTGTATATTCCTGCTCTGGATTGAGTGGTTACAGGGCTGTTTCTATTGAAAGAGAGACGAGTGAGACCTTGGTACCTCCTATATTCTCACCTCTCTGCCAAAACATGCACTTTTAAACTTTGTCTTTCCTTTGACTTAGCTTTTTTCCCCTTTGGACATTACTCAGAAGGATATGAAGTCTGTCTGCAGGGTCCCCCCTGCCCACGCTGGCATGTTGGGGTGTGCCTCCCTGTGCCTGATCCTCAACAGGAGCTTCTTTGTCCTTCTCGCTGCTCCGGACAAAGGGGAATTGTCCTGCCCACCAGCTCCAGCTGCCCTGCGGCCACCAGCCGCTTCATCCCGACCGGAGATGCAGCAAGAAAAGCAGGATGTTTCCTTTCTGTTCATAAGAAGGTGCTTGGGAATCGGGCTGGAATCTCACCTGTCTGGGCTGAGGATGAGGAGGCAAGGAATCTCCTTTGCTGTCCTCACTCACCCCAAAAGTTTTTGGGTCAGCTTTGACCCCCCCCCACCCCCTTCATTCAACACGCAGGCTAGTGTTCAGATAAACTCCCAAGGGATTATCACAGGGCTAATGAGAATCCACACATTTAATAGGATTTAGCAGAAAAACTACTCGGACTAAAATTGATGATAAATCATTTTTCAGAATTAAGATGCTCTTTGGGAGTGTCCAGATGGTTCAGAGCAGAAAAAATGGGAGCTGAATTGCAAAAATGCCTCTCCCTTTGATCAAAGATATTGTCAATACTGTGATATCCACATTATTATTATTCCACAGATAATAGCACAAAGAATAAGCAAAATAAACTCATTGTGGAGCAGAGACTCAGGCTAGGATTTGACAAGATGCTGCCAGGACAGGCTTTTCAGGTGGCTGGATTGAGACACTCTACTTTTGATATTGACAACTTAAAACATTTAATAAGAAATATTAAGCCTTTATTAAACCTGTACTGAGTCAGGCGAGTGCAGATAGCTCTGAACAGAGAAAGCAAAAACCTAAAGTGAAACGTCCATTTTGATTAGATCTGGGATTTTTTTTTTCAGGTAACTACGGCATCAGGGAAAAAATTCCAAGCTCGGCCTCAGGATTACAAGGTAGTAGGGAAAATAAATAACTGTAATGCCTAAATTATGGATCTAAACACATTTTCCAAATAAACCTTTGGTTTATCCTTGGTAGGGCCCATATGCTGGCAAGCTGTTATGTGTGTGGCTGGATAATGGGATTGTCCCCAGGCTGGAGGCCTGCACACCAGGAAGGAAGGTTTTCCTCATGGTGTTTTTAACCATTTTCAAGGAATTAGTAACCTGGTTGGGTGAAAGGTGTCACTGCCTACAGCAGGGAGGGAACGAGATGGTCTTTAAGGTCCCTTCCAACCCAAAGCAGTCCGTGATTCCGTGATTCTATGACTATGCCAGTTTAAAACATCCATCTGGAAAATGCCACGTTCTTCACCGGAATGAGCCTGGGAGCATCCAGGTGACAACCCCAGTGGGTTTCTGCTTCTCTTCCACAGACTCAAGGAATGGTTCGGGTTGGAAGGGACCACCCTGGCAGATGCTGAGCCCCAGGGGGGTGCTGAGCTGAGCCCTAGAGGATGCAGAGCCCCACTGGGTGCTGAGCCCAGATTTGTGCTGAGTCCGATTGATGCTGAGCTCCGGTGGGTGATGAGCCCCGGAGGGTGCTGAGTCCCAGTGGATTGCCAAGCTGAGCCCCGCAGGATGCTGAGCCCCGGCTGATACCGAACCCGGCGGGTGCTGGGCCCGGCTGCCGCCGAGCCCGGCCGGGAGCGGAGCCCCGCGGCCGCTGTCCCGCCGCTGTCCCGCCGCTTCCCCCTGGCAACGCCACGCGGTTTCCAGGCCCGCGGTGCCCCGGAAGCGGCGCGGGCGCGGCGCGGCCATAGGGCGGAGCCGCGCGGGGCGGTGCCGGCGCCGAGCGCTGCCGGGTCGGGCTGTGGCCGTCGAGTGCCGTGAGGGAGGAGCTGCGGCGGGCGCGGGGAGAGCAGCGGCGGCTCCGGCCCGGCCCAGCCCGGCCCGGCCCGCCCGGGGAGCGCAGCGCCGGCGGAGCAGGTGGGGGCAAGGCGGCGGCGGCGGCGGGGCCCGGGCGGGGGGCGGCTCTCGCGGCCCGCCCGCGGCGGAGGCTCCGCCGGGCTCGGCGCTCCCGGTGCGGCGGCTCCGGCTCCGGCCGGCGGAGGAGCGGCCGTGGGGCGGCCCGAGGGACCGCGGGGGTCGCAGCTCCTCCCCGGTGTGGGTTCGGGGCGCTGGGCTGGCGCTGCCCGCGGGGCGGAACGGGGGGATTTGAGTCCCGGGAGCTGATGGACTGTCCCGGCAGTGCCGGGCAGGGACCTGCCGGGGAAGGAGCTGGAGGTGCCTTGGGAACTGCTGGACCCGGTGGTGTTCCCGGTCTGAGGGAGCGAAGTGCTGTGTGTAACTGGAGGTGTATCAGCAACTTATTTGTGTGAAGAAGTTATTTATCCCCTCTACGTCTGGGAAGAATTTCTGTCTGCTGTTTGGCACACTGTGGAACTCTAAAGGTTGGGGTTTGTTGTCTTAGCCAAATCATGGAATCGGGATGGCTTGGGTTGGAAAAATCTTAAAGGTCATCTCATTCCACCCCTTGCCGTGGGCAGGGGCACTTTCACTAGACCAGACTGCTCCAAACCACGTCTAAGCTGGCTTTGGACACTTCCAGGGATGGGGCAGCTCAACTGCCTCAGGAGGGTCACATCTTCCCTTCCAAATGTCTCACGGCTACCAGCAGTCCCCTTTAGCCTTTCTTGACAGTGACTTCTCTGTTCCTGGGAAGTCTTCTGAGCAGAGTCCAAGCTCTGTTGAGCTGCCTCCCGTGCCTGACTTCATGTGACATTTTCTACCTCACTCATTTCTGGTTTCTATGACCTGCCTGAAGTCCCACTATCACGGGTGTGACCTCAGACTTGACTGGTTTTTTTTACTAGTGACCTAATGCCTGTCAGCTTGTGCAGCCACTCCCCAGGTTCTTCAGGATCTGCCTTTTCATTCTCTCAGCTCCCCAGCTGCCGGCTGTGATTTACCCAGATAAACCATCTCTACCTCCCTGGTTCAGTGTTGTGTTGGTAATTCTGTTGGGAGAGGTTGATGGGTAAACTGGGAATCATGAGCTTTGTTCTTGTTGAGAAGCCCTTATCAAATATTAGCAGCATTTTCCCACAGACACATTCCAAAAAACACAAAGAGTGCCTTGGAATTATGAGTTTGCAGAGATTCAGGCTGCAAAATTCCTCAATGCTTGCCAGTTGCTCGAATTTTAGAAGTGCCACCTGGACAGTGAAGTGTTACTGATGAGAGAGTTTGGGTTTCATGACATTGCTGTCGTAGAGAGATGCACACACCGGTTATTTGCACATGAATCTGGGTTCACACTGGAGCTCTTGGAGTCAGGGATGAGCTGGAGGTGCTGCCAATGATAAATATCAGCAGGAGTTCTTGTTCAGGGAAGGTGACCGCTGGCAAGGTGTGACCAGATAAGAAAGAATTTAAATATCATGGTGTGTAATAAAAGAAATCATTATTAGTAAAAAAACATTCAGACGTACTCAGGAAGAGTGGAGGATGGAGGTGAGAGGTGCCAGGGAAATCTCAGTTTCCATGTTGAAGTTCTGGCTGCTGGTGTAGCGGCACCCTGGCACCGCTGATATTCCAGCTTTTTGGCAAAAATCTTGCTGACTCCAGTGCAATTTTAGACTATTGGCCTGATAAAATCAGGGCTTTATGCTCACACCCTTCGTAAGCACCTAAACTTTTTTCAGATACAAGTTTTTCTTTAAACAGTTCCTGCCCTGAAATCACTTTTTCTGGACTGGGCTGCCACAATTTGTATTCTTTAGGAGCTGTTGTGTGGTGGGGAAGAGGAGTCTCATCTCTCTGCTTTCCTCTGCAAATCTCTTAACTGTGTGTTTTCAACTGCTGGCCAAAAGCTCTCACAAGTTTGGGCTCCTTGCAGTATTTCTGTTTTCTGGACATGAGGGCTGGAAACTCACACCAAATTCTCACAATACATTTAACTGGGACATACCTGCTGGTGTTTATGCCAGAGCTGCTTCCTATAAATTAGCTCTTCTCTCCATTGGTGCTTTCAAAAAGCTTGGCCCAGCTGTTGGCTCTGTATTTTCAAACCACAGTCACTCTTTTCTATGTTCTCTGTTGCTCTCTTCCCTGCACATGTTTGCTCAAAGCTAATCCCTGAGGGGAGCAGAGCAGGGAATGGCAGGGGAGGGCTCTCTGGGATGCTGTGCTGTGTCACAGAGAAGTCCTTTGTGCTGATATCCTTCATGTCTGAGACAGGTTGGTGGCTCATGGGACATGGCAACAAGCTAATATCCTGTCTCTCTTGTTCACAGTAGTGTTTCTTGTGAAGTCTGAAGTGTGTAACCTTGCCTCATTCCAGCCCATCTATCTTGCTCTTCCATAGGAGTTTTCATGCTGTTCCAGTTCTCTGTGTTGGCAACAACTTGGTTTGCTGTGCTGGAGTCACCAATGGAAAATATTCAGGCAGGTTCAGAATCCACTCTGAGGGGAGCTGGGAGCTGGGCAAGATCCTAAGTCCATCCTAGTCCACAGCCACTTGCAGCTTTCCCTGCCCTGACGCTGCTCCCTTTTCCAGCTCTTAGGAAGCAATCAGCCACTGTGTATTTTCAGGTTAACAGATGAAATCCTGTGTAATGCCTTAAAAAGTGCTACCAGATGAGACCAGGAATCCATCTGGCCTGGTATCCTGCTCACTGGTAACCAGGAGCAGATGCTTGGGGAGGGGAGAACACAAACACAGCAGATCTAATCCAGGGAAATAGTGGTTTATTTTTCTCTCTCCAGCAGTTCATGACCTCCCTGAGCCAGGTGATGAATTTAGGAACCTTTACACTTCTCTTCATGATATTCATGATTTTAGGAAGATACTTTTTCCATTCCTGGTAGTCTCTTGGCTGAATTGTCCTCATATATTTAGACTTTCTGTGGCTCTTCTTGTATTCCATGTCATTACCAGCTCTGCTCCAGCCTCCTTGAGACAGGTAAGGCAGGAGGAGTGGGGCACAAGACAATGGAGGACATTGACAGAGGTGCTGGGTTATATTTATGGTGCAGATACCTTTTTAGAGGTATTTTATCCTATATTATTATCTCTGTAATTACAAATGTTGTGCTTGTTCATTAGTGATCTTAAAACCATGGAGCCATGGTTTTTGGTGGCATATTCTGCTGTAGTCCTGCTTCCTAGGGTTGGCATCAGTTCAGTCTGTCATGTTTCTTGAAGTTGACGTTAGGGTGGTTGTTCCTGATGTGCTGCTCTGTGAATTGTATCACCCACTCATATCACGAGATTTTACTGCAATTCCTTGGAGTCATTGCTCTTATTTACTTCTCATCCTGAATTATTCAGAGTAGCAAATGTTGTCATCTTAGTAACACAGCTCTGTGTAAAGCAGAATCCTTTGGTGAGTCCTTGCTGCAGAACGGACCAGTGATATGTTCTGCCCCGTTCTTTACCACTTATTTCTGTACATGAAAGATTTTTCCTTTTTTCCTGTAGTTTTTCTCTCCAGAGATCTTTGGTGGATTCTGCCTTGTAGTATTCTTGCTTTTTTCAATGGAGTATCAGCTGATTTTCCCTTGTTGATGTGCTCCGTCCACTGCAAAAGGAAGAAGGAGAAGGGTAGAAAAGACAACAGCCCCTGACTCCTGAGACACAGCTTCATTTTGTACAATATAATTAGCCCTGCAGCAATTTAGGCTGGTCTTTAGGCCAGCTCTGGTTTGCCCAGCATGGCTGCCTGGGCTGGGTTGTCCAGACTCTGCTGAATTGTGCTGTGAAAGCTGGGCCAAGAGACTTTCTAGTACCAGCTTTAACCAAGGGCACTTCCCCATCTCCTCCTCTGTGACTTTGGGGTAAAGTGAGGCTATTACTGTCACCTCATCATATTTTGCCACCAAAAGCCAAGCTCAACACACTCAAGAGTGTGTATAAACACGAATTTAATTTTTGGGAGATGTTGTCTGATGATTTATTAACACAATAATAGATCATGTGGCTTCTAACCTTTTTTCCCTTACTAAAAGCTTGTAAATTTAGATTTTGTTTCCTTCTTGGACACTTAGCCTTGCTGTAGAGATGCGCTGGCTTTGATTGCTTGGTCAGATCACGCTGTAGGGCTCACACCAATATTCCTACTGCTATCCAAGGTGAAGGCAGGAATTAGTTTAGATTAGATGTTAAGATGAAATTCTTCTTTGTGAGGATGGTGAGGCCCTGGCATAGGTGGCCCAGAGAAGCTGTGTCTGTCCCATCCCTGGAATGTCCAAGGCCAGGCTGAACAGGATTTGGGGCACTTTGGGATTGTGGAAAGTGTCCCTGCCCATGGCAGGGGACGGTACGGGAGCTTTAAGGTCCCTTCCCATCCGAATATTCCATGGTTCTATGAGTTGCTGCTTCTCTCATCCACTGCTGGGAAGAATCACTTTTTGCTGTTTAAGAACTTGGTCCTGATGTCACACACTGACCTGGCATTTGCTCTGGTGACATGTGGGGCGTGGAGCCTGGTTAACACTGTGTGTTTTTTTTAATGGCTCCTCTACTCTCCACTGTGTTTTAAATGAACTTGCTATGTCCACTTGCAAACCAGGCATTTGAGTTTTTCCATCACACTTTTAGACTTACAGCATTTGTGAAAAAACACTCCTGACCCTTGTTTTTGTCTTTCCATCTGACTTGCACTGTGTTGATTCTTTTCTAGCTGTGGATATTCACATGGCTAATTCTTGTCCCATCTGTAGGAGTTCTTGAGGAGATGAGGCTCTTATGAATCACCTTCTTTCCCCCCAAAGATGCATCCTCCTCAAATATACTCTTCTCTGGCTCTGCTGGCTTTCTTCTTATGCAGTGTGAGAGGAACCTTTGATGTCGATTGCAGGGCCCACTATCGTGGTGCTGTTTTGATCCATTCAGTCCTTGTTCTTTTACAGGCTTCCAGTTGTCCCAAAACCTTCTCAGATCCTAATGAATCCAAGCCCAAGTGTGGGAGCCATTCTTTGAGATG